GTAAGGAAGTGAGAGCAATACAGGACGCATACGTTTATGAAGTGCGACATTATATGCGTCGTTAGTTAAAGTATCGTGGGTGGAACGAATGTTATCTTAAAAACGTTTAAATTCGATAATAGAAAAGATATTATGATAATTTAATTTATTGATACTACTCTTGTATAGAACTATAATATTCACATAAGTTTCACAGGGAATTTTGTGGACGGTTATTAAATATTTATATATATATAATATTATTAATAACTTTTAATGATAAGGGTTCATAGGGAACTTGGACATAAAAAAGAAGTAGAACTTAATTTAACTAAGTTGATATTATAAATATTATTAATAATATTATTACATACAGTAATATTATTAATAACCGTCCAAAATTCCCTGTGAAACTTATGTGAATATTATGATAATATTGAAAGTTAAAACGATCTTACTAATTTTATATTATTTTTATTTATTAAATTAATATCGTGATACACACTTTTTTTATTTTTTATGTGTATATATATAATATATACGTTTGGTAATAAAATATTATATTATTTGTAGATAAAATTTGATAGAAAATGTATTATTGTTAATGTGTAATACAAGGATTGGATTGAAAAATTTTGAGTCCTTCTCATCTTTTTCTATTTACATTTCAAATTGTTATAGTTCGATCGTATGAAAAGAAATTTTTGTTCTATGCTAACGATCTGAACTTTTCCACAACCAACATGCGTAAAATTATTTGCAAATTTTTATATACGACGATTAATTAATTATATATCGCAATTAACATTTATATTATTGTAACATTAATTATATTTTAATATTTGATAAGAGGTGTTTACGAGTTTACCATCGAATTAGTATAAAGATCTTAAATTGTAATATTATATTATATCTTTCGTGCACGATCAGCTGTGTTATTCGAATTTGATCTAAGCGCAATCTTGAATGTGAATAATAAAAAAAAAAAAGAAAAAAAGGAAAATAATGCGAAAGAGAAAAATTGCGAAGGAAAAAAAATATACAAGAAATAATTTTCGTCATCATCAGCATCTTTCGTATACACGTTTTTATATATATATATATGTGCGTGTACGTATATATGCTAGTGTAACTTCGCAAGAAAAACGAAAATTTGTTTAAGAATAAATGTTTATGATACGTTAGCGTTTATTCTGTTCCGTAATTCAGTAGATTTAGTTTAGTAAAGATTACTCGTTATCTCCCGACTAAAAATAATTCATTTTTAATTGAATGTATATAAAGTTATTTACGTGTCATACTATCTGACAATTTGTTTACGCGATTTCTATGAATCAAACTAATAAATATATACTTATATTGTATTATCTTATCGGTCACAATTAACTCTCGTTCGGATTTAATCTATAGAAATTTGAACGTCACCAATTTAATGGTATTTATTTCTAAATTGAAATATTTTTTGTCACATATATACACATGTATAATATATATATTAACAAATTTTTCCCTCAAATATTTAAACTCTCATATTTCGTCATAAAAATTCTTCCGTTAGAGTAATTAAAGATAATGAACATTTATTTGGATTTTTATCAAGTTGTTGATGTTAATATTATCTGATAATATGTTTACGAAATAGCGAATAATTTATTAAATATAATCATTATTTTATCAACTATAATCAACTGCTATTAGAATCTCGATTAATGAAGAAAATATATTGTGAACGATAATAAAAAAAAATTTATTTATTATTCATTAGCATCGCGAAAACTATCCTATATACGTTGTATAATACGTTTATAATGTATATTATAAATATATATAATAAAAATTGATATAAGAAAGAAACGAAAATTGTCTCGGAGATGCAGTTAAAACGGTCCCGATTGGCAATCGCTTCTGGCCAATCTCATCCGGTTTACCTGCGTGCATTTACCTGCATCGTTATAATACTCTTTACGGCTGCGTGTCTTTACCTTGGCCTTTAAGATTCCCAGAAGAATCTCAACTTCGATTTATAGATTCGCACAATTCGATTTTCTATATAAAAGGTATGGTTATTATATTTTAAAACAAAATAAATTATCTTTATAATAGGAGAGGGGATTCGGATAATTGTGTATTAGTCGTGTCATCGTATATAATTAATTTCTAAAATTTCAAAACATAGAAACAAGAATTTGAAAACATCCAAAGTTTTCCATAAACTCGTATATAATCATTATTGATATTTTAGTTTTGATTCATGTTTAACGATAAAATTAAAAATCAATCAAACGTTGATGAAACCTATTGAAACCTGTTGGATATAATTATGGGATAGAATAATTAAAAGTTATTTAGCAACGATGGAATTACTTCGAGCAAAAATTTGAAGAATATTGGTAGATGCATCGTGATTCATCAGAATGATAACAAACGTAAAGATTTCAAAATACTAATTTCATATTCAAAATGATAATTATGGTAAATGATATAAAACAATAATGAAAAAACAATTTTCTATCAGTCGAAATTTATGATAAATTTAAACGGAAGAGATGATTAACAGTAAAGTTAACTTTCTATAAATTTTTCATAGGTTTATACAAAAAAAAAATCAATTCATTCTTCGAATATATAATATAATTGGTTCACGTTTATTACGTTTAATAAATTTTGCTTTCTAATTATTATTTTATTATTACGACGCATTAATGAATAATATATATACGTGATAGAGTTTTATTAGTATACAAAAGAGAAAGATGTGTAATTATTACAAATAATTATGGGAAAATGATTGAAAGCACTGTTCCGAGATTAGATAGGGGGAGAACTTTGGGTTATTACATGTAACATACGGGCATATGAGGGTTCTCCATTCCAACGCTTACCAATGGGGGGTGGTGTTTTCAACCCCGAAGAGATTCTCATGAAGCTAAATATATCGACAAATGGGGAATCAGTTCAATTTCATGGTGGCCGTGTTACGCGTGTCGTTTGGATATTATCATCTTGACCCATGCGGGTTCTTTCTTTCTTTCTTTCTTTCTTCTTTTTCTTTTTTTCTTTCTCTCTCTTTTGTGAGAAATCCATCTGATGAGCTAGTCACGAACGATTCATGAATAACTTTCGATAGCCAAAATTAACTCGATGTCTCATCACAATTAATTTGATAACTTTATAAATATAACATTGTTCGTGAATTTACCATGTAAACATAATATAAAAATGTACACCAATGCAAAAATAAATTATTTTCTATTGATATTTATTTTTTCGCATAGTAATTAATTAATATTTTTATACGACCCTATATCTAAACTAAATAATTATAAATGCAAATAAATAAACGTCATTTTTAGATCTATCAAATTAATTTCTTTCAACATACGTACAATCAACAAGAACAAAACACACGCAAACACACACGAGTAAATAAATAATAAATCAAAGATAATGTAAGACCCCTTTGGATTAAACAATAAAAATGACTCGTAGGTGTGATCATAATAACAATAATAACAATAATAATAATAATAATGATTATCGGTTCTCTCATTGATCGTTTAAGAAAGTGTCGATCTTACGTACGATTGGAAAAGTTCAACAGAACATAGACGACGACGAGGTTGTTGGTGTGTGTCTTGTTCTCTGGGCGACTCAACACACAACAACCTCGATTATAGAAAGGAATTAGAAGGGATCGGTGTGTATGAGGCGTCGGGGTCGACGGCTAGAAAAGAAGAGGTCGTCGTATTGTTACGAATCGTCCGATTCAAACGAGTACGATGCTTGTCCACGATACACACCGATGTGTAAGAGGCACAATGATCATAATAATGTCCACCAATTACCACCGCTTTGGATCAGAAGAAGAAAGAGAAAGAGAAAGAGAGAGAGAGAGAGAGAGAGAAGGAAAGAAAAAAAAAAAGGTAGAAGAGAAGAAGGGTCAAAGAGGGAAGAAGAGGGGTGGTGATGGTGTTGGTGGTGGTGGTGGTGGTGAGGAGGGCAAAGGCTGGACTTCATTCACGCTTGGATCTTTTCATTCGAACGGATCGTTCGTGGTGCTCTCTGTTATGCTTGAGAACGATGCACAACCAACCATTGACATTTCTATGCAATACTTTTTTCTTGCTTTAGTTTTTATATTTCTTCGTCGTTTAAAAAAAAAGATGTAACCGTATTGGAGGGAAAGTTAAAACGGATGAGAGAATGATTAATTAGATATGGAAATTAAATTGTAATTGTAACGTTTAAATATAAAGTTGTCTAATGAAAGAGAAAAAAAAAAAGATGAAATGCAATTGGTAAGGTAAGTTAATAGAGATGGAGATGGTCAATGATCCTTTATACGTTTAATGATTGAAAATTTATGATTAATACATATTTATATTTAATAATCAATAATAGATAAACAAAAACCACGTTAATACATTATCATTTTATCTTTCTCTCTGCTGACATATTTTATTTCTTTTCTTTATTATTCATTCATCCAATTGCATATTAGTAATCGTGAAGTTTTCTGCCATAGGGAAAAATCCCCAAGCTCCATTAGAGTATAAGTATATTTCTTTTTGCCAAAAGTTAGGTGTTACGTACCGATTTGACCAATGAAATTAAACTAGAAACAAGTTTGCAAGCCACAGTATAGTATAACAGAGTAATATAGAATAGAATATATAAAACGATTTGAAAACCGAAGGGTTCTTCTATGGGCGCGCGAAGGCAGTTACAGCTCCAGCTCGGCGAGTAAGTTGGTCCGAAAAAGGGGGAAGCTTTTTCCGATTGGTTGTTGGAAAGGATGCTGCGTTGCCGGTTTGCGTCTGGATGCTTCGTAATCCGTAAGACAGGAGAGTGAGAGAGATAGAATGAGAAAGAGGGAACGATAAAATGAGGGGTATAGCGGCACGCCTCACGATTGGTCGGTATCAGCTGTGCTGCGTCCCGGGAAACCCTCCCACCAATCGGGCTTCCGAACGTTCCCCCCTCCCCACCGCCCCACTCTTCTCCTCTCATTGGACGAGTTGCGCGACGCAACGCCAGGAGCGGCGGACGTCCTACTCGGCAGTATACAATCGGGCGTCTAACGAGGAACATCTCCTCGACGAAAGAATATAACAGAATAATTTAGTAAGTGAGGCAAAAGTCTGACCGGCTTGTTGCAATATAATTATTTATTTATTTTTTTTTTCTTCTTCTTCTCTCGTTATATTAATCATTACGCACACTGTATTATTATTAATATTATTATTAATTATTATTATCATCATATCGTTATTATTATTATTGTTATAATAATTAATATTATTATTTTAATACTTTTTTTTGTTTTTAAATAACCAACAAAAAATCGCTGAACAAATTAAAAGAGACATTATCGTCGACTTGTTGTTGTCGTGCACGTTCGTATCCCCTCGTTGATTTATCTTTTTTTTTTTTTTATTATACTGTTAAATTATCGAAATCTATATCGTTTACTTTATCTATTTTATTCTATTCAAGAAGAGAAAAAGGGTATGAGATAAACATTTAAAAAGAAGAAAATAAAAGAGGAACGAGTAAAATAAAGAAAAAAAAAAAGTGTTTTTCTCGCATCGTTAATAGATATAATACCAACTATTATTCGCATATATATATATATATATTTACGTATACGTGCCTGTTGTTTTACATCTAACACAACACAACGACGAAGAAGAGAGAAAGAGAGACACTTTTAGTTAAGCGAAGAAGAAGAATTTTAACTTCGAATTTCTTACGATATAAAATCGAAGGACGTTCGGAAGAGTATAATAGTAGTAGTAGTAGTAATAGTAGTTGGGTCGTAGAGAGAACATTTCGATAATTGTTATTTCGTTTTGAAAACGAAACTTTTAAAGGATACGAAGGATAAACTATTAATTTCTGTGGTGATATACGCGAATCGCGAATATATAGATATATATCAACGAAAATACTTTTCTTTTCTCTTTTTTTTTTTTTTTCTTGTCTTCCTTATTTCCTTCCTTCCTTTATTTTTTTGTTCTCTTCTTTTTTGTTTAAACATTACTTACTTTCTTTCTTTCCCCCTTCTTAAAGGAAAAAAGAAAAAAGAAAAAAAAAACTTCTATTTTCGTTCGCGCGTTATACTTACTACTACACATCGCGATATATAATAACTTGTCTTCTTCTTCTTCTTCCCCCCCCCCTCATCCACCGTGTACTTTTAACGTGTTGTGTTTTCTACGTAAATAATACATTCGACGAGACGAGGACGCTTAACGTTAAATTGTGTGCCAGTTTAATTGATATTATTAACAAAAAAATTAAAAAAAAAAATATATATATATATATAGATATATGTATATATATATGTATATATATTTTTAATTAAAAAAAAAAAAAAAAATTTAATTTTTCTGATCTTCGTTTTTTGTGCTCTTTTGAAGTTTTTCGTTGACTACGAAGAGAGAATTACGACGAGGAAGAGAAAGAACGAGAGTTTCTCTTTGGTCTTTATTTTCTAAATAGCAAAAGACAAAGAGACAAGGAAGAAGAAGAAGAAGAAACAAAGATTAGAGAAACTGAAGAACACTAGTTCTTTTTTTCCTAAAAAGTGCAGAAAAATTGGGGAAGAAGAAAAAGACACATTGAACGGATACGTAGTGTTTTTGTGCATCAATAACAAAAAAAGGAAGAAAAAAAAACAACAACGGAAAGAAAAGAAAGGACAGAGAGGAGAGGAGAGAAGAGGAGAGAAGAGAATATTAAATAAACTTATAGAAGAGAAGAAAATCTGAAGGAACATGTCGACCGCCGTCATGACTACGTCCATGTTCGAATGCAGCGAGTCTCTTTTTAAGGTAATACCAATAATAACACACTTATTATATATACTTATATACACCTAATTTATATTTTTACACGATAGAGATACGTTCCCAAAGAATACGTGTTTTTAAAAATATATATATATATTAATAATAATAATTTTTGTGTTTAATCTCAAATGGGGGATGATTATCATGGTTGAAGGAACACATTTTGTTTCTTATAAATTTGGATTATAAATCGTGTAAAAAAATACAAATCTATATATTTAGTTGTACTTTTATATATATATATATATAAAGTATATATATATATAATATATAAAATACTATATATATATATATATATAAAGTTTTTCTTTATCGTTAGTATTCTTATAATATAAAATGTAACTTTTATTATAATGTTTATTTGTAAAGAATTCGTGTCCTTCGAATAATCCACTAGCATCTTCTTTCTTAAAGAAAGAATGAAAGAAAAATAGAGTGGGAGAGAGTAAGAAAGAAAGAGAAAGAGAGACTCTGTTGGAGAACCGGAAAGGATCAGAAAAGAAAAAGATTTAGAGTGAAGAAAAAGATGGTTGGTTGGGTTGGATAGGTTGGATAGGTTGGATAGATGGATGTGTATAATAGTAAGGTTAGAAAGAGTGAGAGGAAGAAAAAGAGAATAAAAAGGTACGTCGTCGTTTGAGAGAGAAGACTACTACTCTCTTCGAGACGTAAATAAAAGTATACGAGAAACCTATACGGACGACTCTCACCTTAACGAAACACACAACGTGGAACGTTCTCTCTTCAGTTTCTCCTTGGAAGTTTCTCTCGGTGGGTTCTCTTTTGCTCATTCGAGTACCGTTTTTACGATGAGACATTTCGTGATGGCCCACCACTTTTTCTTTTTTTCTTTTTTTTTTTTTTATTCTCTCTTTCTCTTTCTCTAGCGCGTTGTTTTTACGATACACAATATTTTCTTTATATTTATTTATTTATTTAAATAATTTAATATATATATTTTTTTATAATATATATATAGAGTATATACTTTTATTTTTTATCGATTAGGAATTGTTGATAAAGGAGGAGGTGGGAAGGGGGAATTTTAGAATTATACGTACCTTAATATTTATTTTGCTTTTACACGAGATTTTTATTTCGTAAATATTTTCTAATGTTAAATTTATTTATTTATTTATTTATTTATTTATTACGAATTAGAAATTGTGGTTTAGGTATTATTTGAAATTTTATTTTAATATATATCCCATATTATTTCGTTTATATATTATATCGTAAGATTAATGAAAGTTTGTTAAATTAAACGTATCATTTTTATGATACAATTGTTTCTGATAGCTCGCAATTTTTCTTTGTTCGATTTATTTTTGATAATACGTAATTTATCGCATTAAAAAACAACGTGAAATACATGTCAAACATAGAAAGGGGGTTAGGGGAGGTAGGGGGAGTTTGCGCGCGTTTACATATCGATAAATATGACAAGATTATAAGTGGAGGGGTTAGGGGGAGGAGAGGTACATGTCCGATATTTTATTTCAAAACTGAAAGAAGAACCAGTAAATCATTAAACAATGTTTTCTAATTGATGTGAAATTAGTGTTCGTATTTTTACATTGCTTTTATCGATATTTAAAAGAAAGAGGAAAAATCAAATATCGATTTCAATGAATTTTTTCGATTTGAAATTTATTAATAAGATGATCGATAAAAATTATTTTATGAAAGAAGATAACAATTTATCTTTATTTGATTACAATATTAAAGATTATTCGTATAACTCGAGTTAAATATAAAATTTCGAATGTTCTCGTGTATATATCTACGATTAGTAAGATTGTTTTTCGAAATTTCTGAGAAATCGAATTAACAGAAGGTGAAGAGGTTGGTAAGAAGATAGGATAGTGAGAGGGTAAGAGAGGTGTATTTAAAGGAAACAAAATAAAACAAACGTTCTTCTTCGCAACGATCGTTCTCGTTAAAAAAAAAAAAAAAATGACTACCTCGTACTTTCGTGACATTTTATTTATACACATATATTTCTACAAACACTTTCCTATTTTCTTCTTCTTTTTTTTTTTTTTTTTCGTTTAAACCCCGCAGCAATCCACCCCTTCTTCTTTCGTTGTATCCTACCTCAACACTTAACAACAACAACAAAAATAAACTACAAAAAGCTTCTAAAACAATTAATACAAATTTTGTTCGTACTTCTTAAAATCTGTACGTTAAACAAAATTATTATTCCCGATAATAAACCTTTTCGTGATTGTGTAATAATTAAATATAGATTTAACGATTTTCGATGATTATTATGTTATTTTTTTTTTTTTGCTTTTATTTGTTACACATATATATATATAATATATGTTTTTGAATCAAATCGTTCTTGCCTTTCTTGCGTTTCCCAACAACGTGTGTTTACATTTTTTCCATGTGCACTTTTATGTATAAGCTTATACAGCATATATATATATATATATATATATATATATATATACACGTACAACATACACATTATTATATAGAAGGATAGGAACGGGCTTAGAAAGATAGGTATCTTGTTAAAGGAGGGATAGAAAACTTTGTTGGCACTTGTAGAGAGCCAACGGACCATGACTATAGTCTACGCTCGAAGAAGAAGAAGAAATCGACGATCGGTGTGAGACTCAATAAAATAAAGAGAGAGAAAAAAAATACAAGTTAACTCGATACATAAATATGCATACACAACATAGATACACACACAAGTGTGTTACTACTAAATATATATATATATATATATATATACATTTTATTATTATTACACGTTTCTTTACTTTTTTCTTTTTTTTTCCTTATAGCAAAGTTCATAAATAAAATTAAAAAATATTATTATACACTTCTCTTGCGAGTTATCACAAGGTTTCTTTTTTTTTTTTTTAATAGCAAAGTTCATAAAAGATAATATATAAAAATATATATATATATATATATATATAGATTTAGTTTTATTTTCATGAATTTTTTTCGTATGTGTGTGTAGAAAATAATACAAAATAATATGAAATAAAATAACGAAGTAGTAGTAGTATTAGTAGTTATCGAATCGTCTGTAATACGTAACGCAAATTATCCGGATATTCTTTGTGTCGTGTTATACACACACACACACACATTAAAAACCGATTATTTCTTTTCGTACGGTTAGTTCATTCGTTTATTCGTTATATTATTGTTAAGAAGAATAAACGTGGTGCGTTCGTTCGTTGGTTGGTTCGTGCTTTCCGAGAGAGCCAATATTTCCGTGACATAATTTCATGGTCGCAGGAAATCGAGGACATTCGTTTTTCCACGTGAGAACGTACGAAAGTTACCTTCTAGAAGGCTTTTTTTTTTATTTATCTTCTCCTCTCTCTCTCTCTATCTTTTTTTTTTAACTATCATCATCATTGAGTATATAAACGTATATATTACTTTAATAAATTAATTTAATTTCTCGTAATGCGTTAATGTGTTAAAACGTGTATATATGTATGTATGCACACACGTGTGTGTGTGTGTGTATGTAAGCGAGGAAATTTACACGACGGCTTTCCCTTTCTCGCGAGTTGTTCCTCTTGCTATCGTTTCTTTTTCATTCAGCGTAACGCACGAAAGTCCTCAGTTACTGGAACACACTGAAAACACACCACCATATATATCGGGTACACCACCACCACCACCACCAATAATATTATTCCCCTTATTATATTCACATCGAGTGTTCCAACATTATACTATCAGCAGGACGTATCGTTTTCGTTCTCGAAGATTTATCGTTAGTTAGTCGTTAACTCGTTATTATTATTATTATTAATATTATTACTCATACGTCTTTATTTATATCTTTCTTTCTTTCTATTTTTTTTTTCTTGCTCTTTCCTTCTTTCTTTTCTTATTTACTTACTTACTTACTTACTTACCTTCTTAACTCTCATTTCAACAGTTGAAACGACTTCCGGTTTTTAAGTCTCTTTTTTTTTTCTTCCCCCTTTCTGAAAGAGAACATGCTTATCATTTCCCGTCTTTTTTATTATTATTTGCTCTCGTCGAAATCGTTGGTTTTTTTTTTTTTTTAAAGTCTCCAAGTGAAATAATATAAGAGAGAAATTTATTATTGTTATATTGATATGTGTGAAAGATTTTTCATTTTCTCTTACTGTGTTTTAATAATAATTATATTTTAGATTTGGTTGATATTATTTTGTGTATTATTTCTTTTCTATATAATGTGAAGATAAATTAAGAGAGAAGAGAGGGTATTTAATTACTGTGAAATATTAGTCATAAGAACAGAATAATATATAAGATTTTAATTGAGGGAAAAACAGAAGATTTTTATTTAGGGACCAATGTGAAAAAGTGGGTCACGTTTATAAAGATGTATTGTACAAATGAATATAATTATAACAAATTTTATCTTGATTGGGACAACAATAGTATGAATTGTTTAGAAATTACACGCGCGCATACACAAATGAATGTCTTTGTATTAATAATAATAATAATTATTAGTATTAGTACAAATATATCAATTCGAATATTTATAATATAATTTTATACAATTATAATTTAATATAGTAATTATTTATTATTTTTATTTCTCATGAAGAAATAATTACAAATCATCGATAAGTTACTTTCTTTTTTTTTTTTTTTCTTTTTTGACATTATATTTCTTTTCTTCAAAATGCCAAATGCCGCACAACGATCATTATGAGAAACGTTCTTAATGTATAACCTGGCCAATGTTATGTACGCACATCGAGACACTTTCATCGGCAATTTCTCCGGTTTCGAAACTCCATTCGTTCGTTTGTTCGTTCGTTCGTTCATCCGTTTAGGATACTTTCGACTTTCGTGTTGAAAGGTGGTATGCGAACTTGTTTTGTTTTTACATTGTCGAAAAATATTCTCTTTCTCTCGAAGAAAAATAAATCAATATATAAATACAACACTTAATGCGAAAAGTAGTATTTGAATAGATGCCGTTTCCCGCC